CGGACATCGCTTACACCCTGCAGGAAGTCCATCCGGGGTGACAACTCTGAAGAACCGGTGAACAAGAGAAGAGTTGTTTGATCAGACACTTCCTCCGATCGGACCTTCAGTCACTCACTCAGTGTCTGTTTGAGCTTCTGTCTGGCTGCGTGAAGTTTCCTCGAGCGCGTTAATTACTCCAGAGGACAAACTCGTCGCTCAGTCAGCGAGAGTGGATCCGGTTAAGCGAGCGGGTTAAGGAGATCGTAGGGTGGGGTTGGAGCTAGAATCCCAGATGTTTTGAGCGGAAACGTTCCAAAGACGCGTTAAGCATCGTAAAATCGTGCTTCTCGCAAATATGTTTCGGACGAAGACGAGACCGCTCACGAGTCTCTGAAATCCTCTCCGATTCCATGACTGGTTCGCTCCCGTTCAATTCCATAGTGAAGATATGGGATCATTCGAGAAGATTTTCGTGGGTGACGTACCTACGCTCCGATCAGGCTCAAGGGCCATTCGCATAGAAGCTCGCGTCGCGACTTCCCGAGCATTCCTCCGAGGGCATTCCTGATCGACATGACAAGCCGGTTGCACCTGACCCCTGGCCCCAAAGATCAGAATAATTCGGCATCGTCGAGAGTAGCGAAAGACGGAGGCGAGTGAGGAAAAAATCGACCAGAAAGAAAAGGGGTCGCGCGTGCCCCACTGCATGGAGCTGCAGCAAGCGATGAGGCACCTCGCCGATTTTTGGGATGCCGACGTCCTCGTCGAATGAGTTAATGTTTTTCGATGTTGGGACGAATTGCTCGTTCCTCTTAGCCGAGTGATATTAATGAAGTATGTTTTGATCGATCTTCTTGTCCGCTCGATCGTGTCGACTCTTTCGAATACGGGGGCTTCCCATTGATTATGTCGGCGCTTTTTTCCACGCACACTCGGAAGCTGGAAGTGATTCTAGTAAGGAGTTGTCACGAGTTTCCACCGAGTCCCGAAGATTTTAGTCGAGTCGATCGACGTCGCGTCGGGAACGTCCCGTTCGGTGGTGGCGGCGACAACAGAATCCTTGGAGCGGTGGTCAGACGGAACTTATTAAATCATTTGATGGATCGCCCATCTGGAGGCGACATTCTCCAGGAATGAAGAACTCTCGATCTGCGCAGTCATGGCGCATCATCGAACAGTAGTACTTCCGACCGATGGCCGGCCGCCAAAGTCTAGTGAATGTAGGATGATTTGCCGTGTTAACGATCGAATTCGAATTCCTGACCGCCTTGTTGTCGGAGCAAATGCATGGGAATGAACGGTCGCAATGTGGCAACCAAACCCCAGCACCATCGGCAAGCGACCGGACTTCGACAGTTTTTCTCTGCTGCTCTCGGTCTGCTCAAGAAACAGATGCGTCGACTTTCACTGCAGAAACCATTCTAAACATCCGAAGCATCTGCGTTGACAGTCGAAGAGGTATTCTAGTCGATAACCGAATGGTAAAAACACGATCGAGTGATCGAGCGTTCAGCGGTGACTCTGAATGCCCCGATCGCCTTCAGCGCATATGGTACGTTTCACCACTAATGCACATCCCTCCGAGGGCAGCTAGATATATATGTATGCGTTCGGACTGTGGCTCGTTCGGTCGGCGGCCAGACTCGGCTGTTGTAACTGTCAGCATTCGGTCCAGAGCTGTGAAATGCGCATTCCAATCGGATCTAGGCAACGGTTTGTTCTCAGCAACCAGCAAAAATCGAAGATATTCCCTTTTTGTTCAAATCATCGAGACCGTTCCCAACGAGACCGCACCATGCGGACGAAACAACTGACGGGCGTCCGAGCGCCGAAGCGTTTGATCAACCCGAGCGGACTCATCGACAGAGTGCTGATCGGATACCGAGGACCGGCTGGCTTCACAACAAGGGTCAGACGTTCATAAACATTTCCGTTGACAAGAGATTAGGAAACTCCACCGATAAGAGAACTCATCAAGCTCCTAGCCAGCGGGTTTGAGTATCCATCAACGGTGACAAAGAGTTTCGAAACTATAAAAAAAGCTCTTCGATTTCGCCGCCTGATGCTATCGGGACCATCGCTGGATATGCGGTCTTGTTCCTTGTCAAAGCTGTCCGCGTTCGATCAGCATGCTCTCGTCATCGGATGCCGGCCGGCCTGCCTGCCTGCCCGTCCTTCGATTTGCCTATGCGGCTTCGAGATACTCGACGCTCGTCTCCGGATACCTTTTGGTCCGGTAGGCTGGCTGCCAGGTTACAGGTAGATGGGCAGGCAGAGCGACGGACTGACCGACTACCTGCATGGTGCCTACACACTCACAATATCGGGAGCGAGCCAAGCGAGCGATAGAGCAACCTGTTTTGAAGAATACAAAAACTTTGCCCGAGCCGTTGCCGACTCAACGGCCCTTCAACCAGGACCAGGTTGCAGGTTGAGTCCGTTGGGAGTCCCTCGTCGCTACGGCTACCTTCGCGAACTGACTCGTTAGCACCGTGACCCCGGAAGAGTTATTCGCTAACGAACTCGTCGTCATCGTCGTTCGAACGACCAAGATAGATGGCCACAGGGTTTATAAATTCTTCAACTCCGAACCCTGCGATCTTTGACTGACTCCGCGCTTCTCCGATAAGTATGCGCCGCCGCTGCGAAAATCCATAACTATCCCACTCGGCCAGACCTCGAGCACGTTTGGGAGAACGCTGTGTATCCGGCGCACGGTGATCGCACAATTTTGAATCGTCCAGCTGTGTGAATTATTTGAACGTTTGCGAACGACCGGGTCTACCCGCGCAGCGTCTTTGGCACTGAGACTGACTGAGTGAGAGAAATTCAAAACATTCGCGTTGGGTAACCGTAGCGTTGAAACGGATTACCACGTCATAAAACGCGATTTTCAACTGCGCTCACCGAGAATTACGGATTCTCCCGCTGAGATCATTGCGCGTCGATGATTCCTGCATCCAGAATCCAGTCACATCTTTTTGTACTCTGTTCAGCGGCATTTCGGTTCGATTGTATGGTGTTCCCAGCCAAACTGCGCCAAAATCCCTCATTGAAATTCGGAATTTCGGCTCAGTGGCGAGACCTTGCGCGTGAATGATGACAATATGGAGATGAGAACTCGAACCGATGGAAATAAATGGATGGGAACAAAAGAAAACCCGATCGGATGAGTTCCCTTCAGGTCCGATCGGTCTCTCTCTGCTCCTCCGACGACGATTCCAAAGTAGTACTAATGAGGACTATACTCCGTCCCAATTGATCGGCCATGCCTCTCGAAGGGAACTCATACGTAGCCGAATTGGGCAGATACAGGAAATGAATTTGCACGGACGCGGAGATGATATCCCAGTCTTGTGAAGATGGCTGAACCCCACGACAACCCTTCGGAGCGGAAGTCCACAATGACTGCTGTTGGCCACCGACTCTTCGTCGACGATAAACATTATTGAATAGGCAACCAGCCGCTCCGTCAAACAAGACCACCCCGAAGGATGTTCAAACAGAACTCTCACATATTTCCTGTTACTTCGGCAAGCTCTCGGTCAGTCCAATTTCTTAGGCTGGATCTATCCCTCATATGATGTATATGGAGGACTATTCCTATACGAACAGGGATTCGACCAGATTCGGATCGCCAAATCGATATTGAACGACAACTATGCAGTTTCGGGACGATGAGCCTGGAGGGGGATCGTGCGACAATGATTCTACCCAATTCCGTCATTTTGAAGAGCTCGTCCCGAGAGGGGGCCGATGGTTACACAAAGTATACCTCCAGCAGGAGGTTTAGGGAGGCGGGTCGTGCGCAAGAGTTGAAATCATAACTCTGTGAAACCTAATTTCGGGCACGCTTAGCTACCGTATGTCAACTTAGAATTACGTCCGGACGTTCGAACACGCCCTCCAGATTTCCGTTACAATTAGGACCGCGACCACCTAGAGGCTTGTTCATCTCCATGAGACATTCGATCAGACCTGGTCTCGTGGGTTCGATTCGAAGCTCGGAAAGTCATCGCCCTCGTACCCCTCGGACGTTCGGTCATACTCCAAACCGCAGAAGAAAATCGTTTTTCCGTTTCTGAATGGCAAGCTGAACTCAGAATTCGCATGGGTTGCTGCTGATATTCGCAGACCCTGCTCTCCGGCCGGAGGCACGTTGAGCAGAGAATGAAGAGTCCAGGATGGGAAAAAGCTTGACCTGCAGAGATTCCTGGTCAACTCTGACTCGGTGCAAACCAGGAAGAGGAAGGACTCGAGACGTGGACCACCGAGATTTGAGCTTTCCGCTGAGATATCCGGGTATGTCCGAACCGGTTAGGGTCCGCTGGGTTCACACGCAGTCCTGACATCTGAGAGGGTTAATACCTTCATAGCTAGATCGAGTTCGAGCAGAAGTTCAGGTGGCCGACGAGGTCATAACGGAGCCGATGTCCCACGCTTCGCATACGGTGAAGTGAGCTGAGATCTTCAGGCGCGGGCTGACTCGGGACTCGTGTGGTAACTTAGTACTATTCTCCAGAATGTTGCTGGGGAGAATCGGCCACATTTTGTTCAGGGCTCTGAAGAAGGGCTGTGGATACACTTTCGATGAAATTAGTCGGGTCCAGACAGATTTCGATCGTGGAGCTGAAGCCAAAATTCCGATGCACCCCACGCAGAAGTTCGAGAGCGACAGACCCACGGTCACTTCGGACCTCCGTCCAAGTGAATGGAGGGCACTGTTATTATTAGCATGATGGATAGACAGAGAAGGGGTGATTTTTTGCTCAAAATTTGATCCAAAAAGGAAGCATTTGCTGTCTGGTTAGCAGTCCGAGTTAGATGACCTTTCGGGGAGCGATACTGTATATTAGCTACCTACACAGCTCACATCACGCGGAGGAAGTGTCGGCCATCGGAATCCGACGGTACATTCTCGCAGAATAAATGAAGGTCGGGAGAAAAAGTTATACTGCCCGAAAAACAGGCATCGTCTCAATTTATTTCCACTCCAACAATCGATTGCACGCATCGCTCTTCCTCAATAATTCTAAAATTATTCATTTTCATTTTAGTATACATAACAGGCCTTTGAATTCACGACGTCGGGGACTAGATAGTTTTCTCGCCCGATATCGAAACCGTTCTTTGCTGTTGGTCGCACGCTGAGAAAAGTGTGTACGAGATGGAGAACGAGAGCTGAACTCGTTCCGTACATTTCTCTAAAATAATGATTTGTGTAATTGCTGTCGATGGCAGATACGCGTTGAATATCGGTAACTGATCTCCTGACGGATGCTGACTTCGCGAGCGGCCGTCGCGGACGGAAATGTTGCAAACGAAATTTTTCACAGCGGCCTTCGAATTTCGATTAGTTGCAGTTACGAGCACAACTACTACGCCCTCGACGGGTCTGTTGTCAGTCACGCTGAGAATCGCGGTAACATCGTCCTGACAGCTCAGGACCAAGGGAGGCTGTGCGGAAGGAAGCACGTCGGCCAGTGGTATGTCCGGGACGGCGGCCAAATCCACCCTATTAGTACATTTGGCGGCGGTGGCGGGTACCGTTCGAGCCGCGGATTTTTCGGATAGAATTTTTTCTGTCATCATCGCGTCAAGACCTTCGAAAGGCGCGTAGGTTTTGCTTGCTAGCTGTTGCTGGCCGAGAGTCGTCGTTTTGGGTACTTTCGTCGGACATCCTTTCGGTGACACGGGTTCCGGTTCGAGAGTTTGCTGTGATGAAGAAACCCCCGCTTCGACGCTGCTGGCGCTCGCGGTGCTCGAGTGGTCCAAAGGCGCAATGTTCAAATCCATCAAATTCAGTAGATTGCTCTTCGATGATGTGTCAATCGTTATCAATGCGTCGCTTGTCGCCGCCGTCGTCGACGTCATCGTTGTGTTTATTGCTGGTCGGGCGATACTGCACGGCGAAATTTGTGAGTCGAGTAGAGACACATCCTCGACGCGAGAACGATCGTCCTTTTCCTCCGGGACGCCCAAAGGATCGAAATCCTTCTTCAGATCGGAGAGCTCGGACGGGATAGTCTTCGACGGAGCAGTCGCCGAGCTCAGACTGTTGATTCCGGTGAGCAGAGAAGACGTTTCCGGGGGTTGGGGCTCCGCAGGAACTCGAGTCGACGATCCGGATTTGACCAAGGGGGCAACTCGTTCCTTGTAATCATTTATCAGCGCGGTCAGCTGGTCGTTCTGCTGAAGGACATCCTGCACGGACGGGAAATCCTCGATGAGGCTGAATTCGGTCGCTAGAGTGAATAATTTCGGTCGGAGCGTGTCACAGTTTTCGAACATTTGCCGAAGCAGCTCCAGCTCGTCGAACGTCTTCGTGCCGACGTTGCTGAAGTTCTTCAGAAGATCCGAAAAGACGGCACAATTATTCACGGCTTCCTCTAAGTCAAGACGCTTACGAGCCTTTAGATCCATCTTATGGTCGGCTTCTTCGACCATCGTTTTTATGAGTCGGTTCGCTGCCTGAAGGTCCTTGGGATTCTTCGATCCGAGCAAGCGCTTCAACTCGTTTTCTTTCCGTTTGTCCGTGAAGATCTCGTCTTCGCGCGGTGGAAGCACCTCGACGTTCTCGAGCTCTTCCTGTCTGGGCAACACGTGGATCGGATCGTCCTCGACAACCCCCTGCCGTTTGAGCATTTGATAAGCGTCGACGATTTTCGTCTCGTGCGACAGCACTACACTCCATTTGTAGAGGATCTCTACCACGCGGCGCTTGACAGATTCTGGCGCTCTCTGGCCCAGGTATTTCGGAGAAACGACGCGAATCAGTTCATTGAGGAACCGGAATTTACCGACTTCGTTGTTGAGTTTGCCACCGCAACGGGAAACGCATATCTCCAGGACCTCGAGCGCTCTCAGAGCTTCACGCTCCTGAGGGCTCTGGATTTTGTGGGCGATGATTTTGAGAATTTCTTGCGGGGCGTCCCTACTGAGGAGGATTTGTTGGCAGAGCTTTTGTACAGCGTCGAAGTTCATCTCTGGATCGAGCGGATTGATGGCCTGAGCCAACACCAGGTCGAGATTGTCGGCGGCTGCCATCGGAGATTCACGGCAATACGATACACCCCCCGAAGTCAAGTCGTTTTCCGTTCATATGGAACGTACAGAGAGTGCATGAATCAACCGATGTTCGAACGGGGGAGTAGTCTCCTCCGAATCGAAGTCCATGTCGATGCTCCAGGGAGTCGGTGAGTCCTTCTCTCCCTTCACTGAAACATGGATCCAGGAGCCGGGTCGGAACAATGCTGTATATCGAAATAACTGTCACAGAACTAGCGTGGGCCTGTTTCGTTGCATTATTGTCTGTTTTGGTTTCAGTGCGCATGCGCGACTTTGCTCTCGGAGCGACGACGGCTGATTTCGGAGCACAACACTCAGGAGCGCGGGTCAACTTGAATCGGGATAAGTTGACCTCTGCAGAAACTTCGAAGTCGGCGCTCATATTCATAGCAACTGGAAGTCGTTCCCCGTTTCAGGGAGCCGTTATTCGAAGCTTTCGGAACTCCGAACCGAACTCGCATCCTGATTGTTGTGCAGTTTCTCAGCGCTGGTCGTAAGAATTGTGAGCGCGGTGTCACGTGAAGGGTTGCATGTATTCTCGTTTTGATCAAACAAATGCCATTGTGTAGCTGAGAGCTGGTCTGTCCATGAGAACGCCGGGGGCTGCGAAGGCCGCTGCGCTCGGCATGCTTTGCAGTGTACTATGTTCAGAGCATCGAGACGAGCTGAGAGCTGCCCATTAATCATTTCGAGGAATCCGCCGACAAAAAAGATGATCAAATTAAATGCGGTTGTGCTTGTCGATGTTTCTCCTCCATAAACTCATCGGAGACTCTGAGGCGATGGCTGCTCACGCCATTCGAACGGCTTGAACGGAGGACGTGTAATGATCCTGATCCCTCTCCTGTCGGATTCCGGACCTCGTAGACAGACTAAGTTTCGATCACTTCGGAAGGCTTTCTTCCCATGATGAATACCGATCATTCCTTTCCGCTGGAATTAGTGGACCCCGTATGCGCAGCACAATATTCGATGCTTATATTTTTGCTACAGATCGATAATTCGATCGTGGCTCGAGAAGTTCTATCCGACATAAGGCTTGTTGCAGTAACAGTTCAGCATCGGGATATCCGAACACATTGCCGAAGGAAATTCGCTCAGACTAGACGACGGATGTCGCCGACGAGCAGAAAACACCGAGAGTGAGAGTTGGAGTAGGAAGCGAATTTAGCTCGCTGCGACCAATTGGTGCTGGAACTCCTTGAGGTGGCGCATTGTTGAAGTGCAGAGGAAGCAATTTATAATAACCTCCCCAGGGAAGACCACCTCCATCTTTTCGAACCCTTCTAAACGGACGTGAGTTTTGCGCCTCATAAATACAACTTAGTGTCATTGCTAGCGGTGCGGTACAATGGCTGAAACTTTTAGGGTGGTGTCCACCTTCGATGCATGCGCATGGTCAGTATACAAATGACCTCTCGTCTCCACGAACGAGTACAAATAGCCGAGCCACCTAAACAGTCGAGCAGAGAGCCAACCAGCTAAGCAGGCAGCCGACAGGCTAGACCAAGTAGGAGCCGTCTGTTCCCCACACCATGTGGGCGGATGTGTAGATCTGAAGTTCACCTTCACCTTCAGTCGACATCAACAGCGCGCATCTTTTCGCATTCTACTCTGAGACCACACAGACATGGAGTTCTAGACACACCCTCACCGACTCGCGATCGAATAGAAGCCAAAATAAAAATTCACACCAAGGAAGGAATTATGCACGGTATCCATTATTCCAGGATCAGGGATCTCTCCTTCTGCAAACAGTCTGAGGCTCTCCAAACTCCTCGCGGCCGGTCCCCTCGATGCGATGCCCCACGCGAGGAGCCTCTTCCTGTGATAGCGAATAAAGAAGTAACCTCGAACAATTTATTGTGTCTAAGGCCGGTCCCTGTGTCGAGAAATGCTGGGAGATGTCCCTATGGAATCATGGCGTATAGACTAATGCCTGCTGCTGCGGCCCGCTCCATCCGGATTCTACTGGCGCGTCGGACATTCGATGCGGCGCAGTTTTCAAAAATCGACTCTCAACTCGAGAAAGTGCGACGAGCGTGTCAGGTGCGAGAGGAATCCGTGGGCTCTCTGGAAGGAAGATTTGTTGCGCAATCTGTTATGTCTGATATCTGAGCTTAATCAGCATGACGTTGATTTTTTTGTGGGAGACATTACTCGTTATGGGCTGGACACCGAATCAGGTGCCTTGAATACTTTGGACCGTCTCGAATTTCTAGGACTTGTTTTCTTAACTGCTCCGTCGGTCGTCAAGATTCGGAACAGGTCTTTCGTGTCTTTTCGGGTGTGGTCAGAACGATGGCAATAGTTCACTTTGTCGTAGAAGTCGAGCAGAAACTCGCTCCGACTCATTTGATACTTGAACGAAGCGTTCTGAGCGTACAATCTCACAGGCGTCGCTCTCGAACTCTGAGCGGCCGGACCGGCACCCCATAACGGGTTTATGGATGGACTGGTAGCAGCAAAAACGAGTTCTGTTACTTTTGATTCCCAGCCGGTCGAAGGAGCTCCTTCGCCGTCGGACAAAACGGAACTTAGTTGTCAAGCAAGTTGGATTTGTAAATAAAAACATAAATACTTCGCTCGCTCTTCAACTCTTTCATCGCTCGTTCACTCGACGACTCTGATTCCATCCGGCGAGCGGATCTGGTTTTTCAATCGGCAGCCGATTCTAAACAACAGCAACAGCAATCGTAGCGACAGAACAGCGGCTTCAGAGCGTGAAATGCCTCCTCGGAATTCTAGTTTCTTCATGGAGGGAGAGCACCACACACCGGGTAATCTATGAGAACTTGTGGTGAGATAGCAAGCTTCAGGTGATAGCCACGGCTCGAAACCCTAAAGCCTGAGGTTTTGTCGGGAGCTGGGGGAAGCGCGTCTACGCTTTAATAATTTACGGTTCACACCCCGAAAATTTCGCTGCAACGGAAATCGACAGTGGACACGCATGTTCGTCGTGACGATCGTGAGTGAATGGGACTCCGAGACAATTTTTCTTCTGTCTGACCAGTGGACCAACTGAAAGATCCGGTTTCGATTTCGATGCAACGGGACGCGGCGTATGTTGCGTATGCTCGAAAGGCATGCGGATTCGTAATTTATTGACCTGCAGGCAATGAAAGCACAGCGAAGCGAGAAAAGTGAAACTTTCATTCGCTTTTAATGGGGAGTCGTTATCAGATCCGATCGTGCTCATTATGAGTGGCAATATGAATGAACAGAAAACTCCGTAATCGAATCCATATCGAATGATACCCATGGGTGTAACGATTTTACGCGGTATTTTCTAAATGATCAGCCAGGAGCTGGATCGTAGATCCGATTATGCGGCAAGTTGGCTGGCTTTACCTGCGTGTCTTGCGGAGCGGGAACAGGTAGAAATCTACCATGGGGAATGAACGTAGCTGAAAACCCGCACCGGCATATGTTGCCTCCTCGACCAGCCGACTACCTGGCTAGGGTTCAGTTGATAGGTTGTCTTCTCGACGATTGTCAGGTGTTCAAATAGATTCAGGTCACAAGACGGCCGGGGAATCTGCACTAAAAAGTGAACTGGTCACTCGGTCTAAGCCTCCCGGCTGTCATTCTAGAGACCGGACTTTACGAGAGATACCGCTGCGTTCTAAACCCCACTCGCCGGCGTTCTTCGCGACGAGTAGCCGATGGCGACTCGGATCGCTCTTCGTCGGCCGTTCGATTCCACCCCTTGACGGCGCTTCGCTTCGGGCGACGGGAACGAGGTTCGGGGCCTTGCCTCAATTCTCGGAATCGAGACTAGGAAGTCCTTGACACGATCCGGTAGAAGCCTCATCGGGGGCTGTTCTTCGTAGATTCTTCTGTTTTGGGATCATCCCTTACCGATAGCGTTCTCTGAAAGCTTATTTCGAAACGTCTGGATAACGAAGAAAAGGCGATCGTTCGAAGACCACCTGGAAGCCTGACGAGCAGAACGTTCACAAGGTCGGTCAGAGTGTTGGAGTCGAGGAATTCGAAAGACGCCACAATGCTTCTCTTCTCGATGACCCACAAAAAGAAGGAGCCAGCCCGATAACTCTAGCATCGACCTCGGTGAGGACTGTGGCGAGGGCTCCGGTCAGCTAGTTCGGCGGCCTTGTCGGCAGACAGAAGGACTTGACCCGAGTCCAGCTAGGGTGAATGAGTTTCTGTATGTCTATTAGAACCTGGTCGAGGCTTCTGTCATGCTCTAACGCGGAATAAACGGCTGTTCGATCGAAAGTCGTTGGAATGGTTAGAATGTATCCACCGAAAGGCAATCACGAGCTCTTAATAATCTATTCGACGAACGACAACGAATCAGCGATAGACGAGAAAATTCTATTCAACGGGGCTGGGAATGTGAACCAGCGCTCCTCACCGAGAACGGACCGTTTCTTTCCCTTATCGTTGCTCCTTGGGCAACGGCGGATTTCTGGGGCATTTGCCCGACTTTTCCGTTGGGTCCCGGCGGCTAGCTTACCGAGACTTACTCTGACATATCTCTCACTTGTCTGCTGTCCCCGCTCCCGAAAGCGCTGAATAAGACCTGGTGAACCTAAAGCATATATCGTGGACGTTTAGGTGTCTTCAGTATGTGCGATATTTCTGACCGAATGACTGTTTTCCGCGGTCAATTAAACCCTGGCAAGGAGACTAATCGTCCCGACCGGCGACCGAAAGGTAAGTCTCGTCGTCGAGTGAGGATGGAAGAATCCATGAAAGACTTGCAAAAAAATCGAAAACTGAGCGGCGTCGCATCATTTGCACAAAAAGACGCTCTAACAGACCTCCGGCCATCATTAATGACCATTATGAGATAATAGAGTGGAGCAGGTCGACCAATGGGGATTCGCTATTAGCAAGTCTTTCCGGAAACCAGTCGAAATAGTGCCCTGAGCACTGCTCTCAGGACGATTCCCTCAAGCGCCCGCCATGGAGTCTACGTTCATATCATGTACTCGTCCCACATCGGTGATTAT